AAACTCGAGGTCACTACATCACTTCCTGGGGAAGCGCACAACTCTGATCTTATTCATCAAAATAAATCTCACCTCATGAACTGTATGGCCATTATTCTAATTTTCCAAATATACATCTTAAAGGCACATTTACCATTGTGATAGAACAACAATAACACTGGGAACAACTTGGATTTAAATACTCCTTTAATGCAATAATAGTCTGCAGTCCAACTACGTTGCATCTTTGCAAGAATCAATGAAATATGTGGAATTACATCTGAAAACGTCACTTCATCTGACAATATCTCATCTCAACTTAATTTTAAATTTAGTGAAAGAAAGATACTGCAGATGCTGAAAAGCTGAAGCAAACACAGAGAACACTGGAGAAACAGAGTTAAGAAGAATTATGCTGTACTCAAAACATTAACTCTGTTTCTCTATCTCCACAGATGCTGCCAGACCAGCAAAGTTTCTTAAGCACTTTCTGTTTTTAATTTTAAATTTACTCGTCAAAGCAAAGTAGTAATTCTCATAATCTAATAGATATCTTCTCAATGTAAATTATACAACAACAGCTGGAATTCAAATGTCACCTTTAGCATAGTAAAATATCCGAAGGCACTTACTGACGGGTGATCAAACAAAATCAGACTTTAACTCATGTAAGGAGATACGAAGGCAAAGGTTTGGCCAAACAGGTAAGTTTTAATAAATGTTTTAAAAGAGAGGTTTGGAGAGAAGTAACAAATAGGAATTGTCTGTAAACACACATTGCGTATAATCAACACTGTAAACAAACTTCAAATTTACAGAAAATACTCCACACTGTAGACTCAAATTAAGTAAAGTACAAAAAATGATCTTCTCTTAAAATTCCCCAAAAAGAAAACATAAAAACCTAACAATAGAAACAGGAATTGACCATTTGGCCCCTCAAGCCAGATCTGCTTTGACTAAAATAATGGTTGATCTTGGACCTCAACTCTATTCTGGCCAAATAAACCAGAGTTGATGTTACCTCAGCAGGGAATCTACAATATAACTGACTCTCTACATAACTGACACACTCAGTGGATAAAAAAGATCCTGTGGAACTATTTAAAAGAAGCATTCTCCGTGACGAATATTTATTCCTCAACCAAAATTATTAAAATTGATTACCTGGTCATTACCGCATAGTTGTTTCTGGGAGCTGACTGTGTTAAATTGGCTGTCATGTTTCCTACATTGCAACAGAAACTTCCTTTGGAACATCCTGAGGTCAAGAAAGGCACTGTTGAAACTCTTGCATTTTCTCACATTTTCTCATGACATTCTACTTCCATGTTGAATAGCTTCTCTTTCTCACAAAGATCCCATGCTCACAAGCCATCTCCTACTGGGATCCTTCAGCCCCTCCACTGCTCCTTTGGGTCATCTTCCTCTCTTCACAGCTGCAGTCATTGTTGATTCTATTCAAACTCATAAACTCATCCCCCTTTCAATTTTATCCTCTCTCCTACAGGCAGCTCACCTGTCTCCTATTTTCATATCCCTAATTTGAGAATGCTGCTTGCTGCAAAGGTCAAGCTCAATCATACCTTTTCCTCTCTCACCCAGACAAAGTTGGGGGTCAGGCTTAATGATCTATTGTGGCAACAGGAGCACCAATCAGCCTGCTACAGATGAACATCACAGATCCCAGATATTCCATGGTTACCTTCTGAACTTCAATAACCCCCACCAGCCCCCAGCCTACACCTTGGCCCCCAAGATTCCCTTATACATCAAAGAGTTTTCAACAGGTTCTCTATTCTCATCACCAGTCTCTAACCAATCAGCTCTCTACAAAAGCAAAATATTGCAAATACTGGAAATTTGAAATGAAACAAAATTCGAGAAACTCAGCAGGTCAGGCACCATCTGATATGAGATGACAAGAACTAACTAATCAATGATCTTCCAACAGGACTGGAAAAAAATAGAGATGTATTGGATTTTAAGCAAAAACAACAGTAAGAAAGGGAAGGAGAGACAAAAAGGAAGATTTGTGTGAAAGAATGAGATATTCAATAAGAGATAATAGCGCAAGTCAAAATAAGATGGTAATGTCTCAAGAAACAAATTATTGGCTTGCAACAGGTGCAAATAGGAAAAGCAAAATCATTACTAATAAGATCAGCTCAAAAAGAAAGGGTAAGAAGAACTGCTAACTCAGTATTGAATCTAGAAGAGCCTAAACAAAAAATATCAATCCATCTCTTTATTTTTGCTGTCATTTTGCATTTCTTTAAAGACAAAGAAGCATACAATTGTACAATTAGTAAGGCAGCAATGTATTACAGGAGAAAGAGAGAGAAAAGTGCCAGCCATAAGGACAAAGGAGATGAAAGGAAAAAGCAACTTGCAGAAAAATGGAGGCTGAAGAGCTACAAAAAAAGCAAACAGCTAAATACAACCATGAATCATACAAAGTGGGACAGAGTAGAAGCCAAATAAGGGGCAAGAAGGAATTAAAAAGCCACAAAAACACAGCTCCAGCAGGAATTTCTTTCTCAGGAACAATAAATTTACAACTGCAAACATTGGACTGAGTTCTCCGGTCAGTAGCAATGTAACAGCACTCACCACTGACTTCAAAGAAGAGTAGCAGCAAAGATCAAAAGATCACCATGGTGTGGGTTTCCCTTTCCCTTTCACCAAGTCGAGGTGGTCTCTAGGCATGCATCAAGCACGGCATGCAGCCAATGAAGTATTAATAGAAGGTTACATATACTGATTACTTTTCACTTTTAGTTAAAGTTTTACAGGGAGTGAAATAAGTATGGGCATAAACGTGGGATTAAGGCAGAAGCTGACATATCAAAAACAAATTTACTTAAATAAAACTGAATATTTGATTTTTTTCTTAAAAATAATGGAGAAATATGACAGTCCACAAAAAAGCTTTCAGGGCCAATGATGCTGTTCAGCAGTCATTATAAACTAAGTATGCTGTTAAAAACCCAATTATGTATCAATTGACACAACGCTCCTTTCCACATTTTTACAACAAGGCTAAGTAGTGTAAAAAGACAAATTTCTTCTTAGTTCAATAACTATTTGATTGTAATGAAGGAGAGACAACAATGCACCCCATGGTGAAGCGTGAAATGTTTGACAATAACTTCTGCACTTGCATCTGGTTGTTTATTGTCAATGCTCTCACCAAGTGGCACAGTGACCACAATGCATAGAAACACAGCTCTGCAGTCAAACACCTGAATGTCACTTCATGGGCATTACAGAATGGCAGAAGTGACTTGTCAATGTGTGCTACATTACATGAACAGCACTGCACTATGAAAGCATCCTTGCAAGAGGTGCCCCTGAAATGAATTAGAAAACCATTAGTCCATAGGTGTGCTCAGAAAGTGCCGAAGGTGTCTAACTCATCCCCACTAACTCCCTGAGTGAAGTAGCTGGTTAGGCAGAAGGGATATGGCCAGCGGTGAGGTTCCAGGGGGAATGCTGGGCAGAGGCCAGCTGCATGAAGGGGCAACAGCCAGCAATGAGGTTGCTTTGGCGGGGGGGGGTGTGTGTGGTGTTGAGGGGAGAGATGTTGGTGTCAGTATTGGGGAGGGACTGGCAGCTGTCAGCAGCTAAGTGTGGGGGCTGAAGCAGAAGCCAGCAAAATGTAAAGCCGGGTTCAGGCAGAAGGCTCTGTTTCAGCAGTTTCATGTCATCGCCATTATTCAGATGTTGACATCCTGTGGTGTTGGCAACACACCCTATGTTTCCGCACTTAACTGGAGTTGCTGAGCATTTCAGAAGAATAATGACGGCAAACTATGACCACTTCATCATGATTATCACCACAAAATCAGGCCAATGCAATAATGGCATTGCTTACCCTCTTCCTCTGCAATATTTTCCCCTGCCTCACATGAGGGTAAAAATTCACACCGGAGAATGTTTGAATGGGTGCATGGAGCACTCTGTTAACTTACACAAGTGACCAAACTTTATGTGCCAGCCAAGTTTGCAAAGAAATCCAAATTAGGCAACATTGGCTCTAACCATGGGGCAAGCATTCAATAAATCCAATTCCTGTGCATCATGTTAGTGATACTGCAAGTGGAAACTGGAAAAGGGTACAACTCCACACAGAACCTAGAAAAATACACATTTCAGCCAAAACAAGTAATGCATAGGAAGTGCTGCAGGCAATTGGTTTTAGAAACATAAACATGACATTAGTAGACCCATGAGATATTCCTAATATAACCACACCTGGAGAATTACTCTGCTTTCCCTTTCCAATTCACAACACAAACAACATAGCAAACAAATCATCAGCGTTCCACTCATATGGCCAAGATATTAAACGTAAATACTGATTGCATAAAATCACATAATCTCCAGGGTATTGTCAACATATCAGAAGTGTCTCATGACGGCCTCAATAAAATTACGATCGAGTTTCAAGAAAAGCAAGACCTAAAAAAATGCATTGTGTGCTGATTTTGTACCTCACAGCTATACATTGGCAAGAAAAGCTCAATTTTGCACAGATTTCCGCCCTTGTGCCTGCAGTACAAAATAATATAAAAGGGGCCTGTGCTCATGTGAGTGTCTTGAGTGAGTGTCAGCAAGCAAGTCAACCACAGAGAGCACTGCCACAAGAACAGACTCACAATCACTTCCCTCCAACTTTGGTCGTCAATATTCATGCACATAAACCCCAGCCAATTTTCTCCCTTCCAACACAACGACATATATTTACATTCCTACTGAGCCTTTAGTACAGAACCAAGTTATCTCACAGGTATACAATCTGATAAAATTTGGTACGGAGCAATGTGAGATGGTACATGTTGGACGTCCAAAATCTGACATCCTCAGGATCAAGATTGTACCACATTTAAATCTAAACAGAATTTGGAGATGCGGGTTGGAGTGGATTGGGTGGAGGGTCATTTGATTCAGCTCAGAGTAGTATATTGGCGTACTACTATAAACAAAGTGGCAAATTTGATGACTAGTCCGACACACCATCAAGAACTAGCGTCTTGCTGAACTGTCCTGAAATTTGGACAATACATATGAATTTTATTTAAGTGAATACTAAATTGTCTCAAAAATTCGCGGTTTCCACAGAATTGGATTTTGGACATTCAACCTATATCAGGACAAATTTCAAACATTTGAGCAAACAGGAAAATTTTAAAGAGCTTCTTAGAGAAGGAGCAAGAGGTAGAAAGGTACAGAGGTTTAGGAAGAGAATGCCGGAGTCCAGGGTCTCAGCAGGTAAATGTAGGCCTGCCAATGATAATTATGATAAATGTGGATATGAAAGAAGACATAATTGCAAAAAGCACAGCGATGTCAGAGGCCTATAGAGTTGGAGGAAATTACAAAGACTAGGAGGGGCAAAAGTCACGGAGGGGCTGAACTTAAATTCAAGGTGTTGCCAGAATAGGAGTCAATGTAGGTCAGCAGGTGGAGGGGGAGTTGGGTGAAAGGGACTTGGTGCAAGTTAGAATACATGCTACTGAGGTCACCTGCATGGCCCATCCGGTTGCCTGCTGAGATCAGCTAGTTGAGAACAACCCACAGGTCAAACCTGGGTCCTTCTGTTCTACATATTTAAGCCATTCACTCAACAACTCTCTGAACCATTGTTGGTGCTCCACACACACACAATTAGAAAAGCAATATTCATTAGATAATTACTCAGGATCCCAAATAATGCAGCAAACATTCTGAAAACTCCTGGCTTGAAGGAAAAAAAACTCTCAAAATTGCATGCTGTGAAGCAATGCATATATGTTAGTTTAGTAGCTAACCTGGCAAATTATAAATATTTTTCAATGTTGCATATTAGCACAGTTCTGCAACCTTCAATTAATTTCCTCTCTTCAGTTTCAGAATTATAGCATCAAATTTTTGGCATTCTGCAAAGAGCGAAACTGTTTTCTGTTCTTATGAATGCCACACTTTAAGGGTCGGTTAAAACAACACAAGAGATTCCTTCCCCAACCTTAAAATTCAAGTCTTTCCCTTCTCTGAAGGAATTTGTGGGGGTTTTTTCTGTGCAACAGGCCTTTGACAATGAAACTCAGTTTGTGGTAGGATGAAAAATCAAACAAAGAAAGTGGAATTAAGTCCGACAATGAGGCAATTGTCAATCATCCAGAACCATTTCCTGACAGACATGTGTGTCAATTGCTTCTGTATGCTGGTCAAGAATTATGCACTGCTTTACAATTTCAATCTTAAGAAAATTTTTTGTCTTGCAAAAACCAGAAGGTTTGTGGGTTGAGTCCCGCCTGGGATATGATTGCATACTAAAGGCAGACCACGCACGGTTCTTCACAGGGCATATTAAAGAGAGGATTTTTCTTCCTGTCAGAGAGGAGTGAGAACAATCCCCCACATTCTTGTGCAGTTTTTTTTTTAAAGTGACTCTGGTGTCACATCTAATGTTACCTAAAAAAAAACTTATCTAGAGCTTCACTTCTGGTTAGTCAAGCACATTATTTTAGTTTAATTGGTCAAAATAACGTTTACGATTTTTAATACCCAACAACATTTGTCTTCTTGCTGCTTTTGTAAAGTAATGCTGCTTGAGCAATATAACTTCGCAAAGTGGTTATGAACATGAAGTGCACAAATTCCACTAATATTTCCTAAGTTGTTTATTTATATAAAAGTAAGAGAATGAGATTTAATTCAGCTTTACTAAGTCACCTGAGATCCTTAATCCTGAGGAAGGCATGTTGATGGGCATCAACTGCTTGACAGGCACTATTCAGTGAGCCTTCCCCAACAGAGGTAAGGCAGGGCTCCCATCAGTTCTCCAGCCGGGAGGTAAGATCACCATCAAAGACACTAAACTCCAAGCATAAATTCAATCGGGAATACAGGAGAAACCTCTTTACTCAAACAGTTCTGAGAATGTGGAACTCTCTACTACCATGAAGTAGTTGAGGCGACCGGCACAGATGTGTTTAAGGGAAAACTGGATAAACACGAGGCAGAAAAGAACAGAAGAATATATTGATGGTGTGAGATGAAGTGGGGTGGGGGAGGAGGTCTGTATGGAGTATAAAGTGCAGTATAGACCAGTTGAATCAAATACCCTGTTTCCAATATTGTAAACTTCTGTGTAATCGTGATAACAACCTACTGACTAATATTTTTTACCATAAAATCACTCCACAGCATGCATTATTTTCTTGAACTGTACATATTTTAAAATCAAGAAATCTTTCAACATCTTGTCTTCCATTACTGGGACTTGACATAATGGGGAAATTTGAAAATCATTCATACTGATAATAATTCAATGGCATATTGAATATTACATCAACAGCTGTTCAGCCGTGCATTTATTCCTTGTGAGGTAGCTATCGTACAAGCAGCAGACACTTGAATCAATTAATTACTTATCATTAAAAATCCAGATTCCAAAATATTCAGCTATCAATACAATTTTCTAAATGTACTGTAGAATAGGGGGAAAGGGATAATTTTCCCTCATCCACCTCCAATTTACATTGAATCACTTCAAATTTCACAGGACAGAAACGTGCCTTTCACTGAATCATGACAGTATTTATTCTCAGCAAAGGCCTTCTCGCAGCACACTCCATCCCTTCTTACCAGCCAATTTCTTTCCACCTCATGATTCAGACATCAGAATTAATAAATGAAAACTAGTTTATTCTTGGAGATTATTACAGTCCTAATTGATAAATTATACCCATTTGCTAAAACAATTACCTCCCCAATATGTAAGGAAGACAGATTCCTCTTAAAATTCTGCCTGGGTGTTCGAATCATGCTCATAACGTAGAGCCTGTAGGCAAAGATTTCTCACCTTGTAGAATTTTCAAGAAATCTCTGAGCTTTCAGCAAAGCAGCGACATAAATGGATCCAGCAGTAGCCAGCAGTTCCTTGTACTCAGAATTTGACAACGTATGTCCTGTTGGGTTAAGAAGTTTTACATAAAATTACATCGAATGTGCAGCCAGAAACAGACCATATGGCCCATATGGTCTCTGTCCTTGTGTCCTCCCACCTTGTTGTCTAACCTTGGATGGAGAAACTTTCTCCCTCATGTATTTATCTAGCCTCTCCTTAAATGCATCAACGTTATTCTCCTTCATGTGGTAACAAGGTTCACAAGTTCTCTCTTAAAACATCATCTCATTAGTAACTTGTATCACAAAACACAATAGAAAACAAAAACAGAAACTGCTGGAAAAGCTCAGGAAGTCTGGCTGCATCTGTGGAGAGAAATCAGAGTTAACGTTTCGGATCGAGTGACCCTTCCTCAAGGTCACTTCCTCAGAAGAAAGGGTCTCTCAACCCGAAACGTTAACTCTGATTTCTCTCCACAGATGCTGCCAGACCTGCTGTGTTTTTCTAGTAATTTCTATTTTTGTTTCTGATTGACAGCATCCACAGTTCTTTCGGTTTTTACAATAGACAACAATTCGTTATAATAAAACAAAAAGCTGCAGAGCTGAAACAAAAACAGAAATTGCCGGAGAAAGAGTTCTGATGAAAAGCCACCGGACTCGCAACGTTAACTCTAACTTCTTTTCACAGATGCTGCCAGACCTGCCGAGTTTCTCCTGCAGTTTCTGTTTTTGAAACAAATTATTATTTTGGATTATGGCTTTGGTTTAAATAAAATATTTTCCTTAAGATAAAAAAATCTGTTGGATCTTAGGCAGACTATCATAGTAAGAGAAAACTGGAGGTTGATAGGTTTATATTCCTTCAAGTGTTGAAGACTAAATATGACATAATTAAAGTGTTTAAGATGATTAAAGGCTTTGACAGGTTGATAGAGAGAAATTATTTCCTTGGGAGAGATGGGGGCTGAGAAAGGAGAAGGGGAAAATCTAGAACCTTCAAGTTAGAGCTGAGCCATGAAAAGTAATGGCGGGAAGCAATTCTTCACAAAGGGCTTAATGGAAGTCTAAAATCTGTCTCTCCCAAAAACTGTTCAGGCTGTGGGTCAATTTAAAATTTTAAAACTGCAATTGTTAATTTCATTGACTAACAAAAAAAAACTAAAGGTCACAGAACCAAGGAGGGAAAAGGAATTACGACACAGCACCAACTACAATCTAATTTAGTGCCTGAACAGGTTTGAGGTGCTGAACAGCTCCCTACTGTTTCCCTTTTCCTAGAAGAATCAGCAAAATTGGTACTGCATAAATTACAAAATTCTGTTTAAAAAGGAGTTATACAATATTATTTAATCAAACTGCATTGCAGTGCTCATTCTTAGCTTTCTGGCACAAACACAGAGAATGCTGGAGAAACTCAACTTGTCTGGCAGCATCTGTGGAGACAGAAACAGAGTTAACTTTTTGAGTCCAACACGACATACTCTGAAGGAGTCACACCAGACTTGAAATGTTAGCTCTATTTCTCACTGCACAGATACTGCCAGACCTGCTCAGTTTCTCCAGCATTCTCTGTGCGTGTTTCAGATTTCCAGCAAGTATCTTGCTTTCTGCAGTATTTTACTTTTATCTCAAGTTTCTGGCGTTTGAAATACAGCTTTGAATTCATTTACAGTTGTTTCCCCAACAAGTAATACAAGATGGAACAACAAGAAGAAATAGAGAAAGCCGTCACATTTTGTTTGAAGGCATGTTCAGAATATGTGACTTTTACTGATTGAACTGAAACTTCCAAATAACTCTTACTTATAAAGTAACCAAACCTGACATAAAATTCAAAATCTTGATACAAAATGTCTAACACCAAGTAAACAGTGAAAGAAATGAGTTTCCATTGTGTCCCTCATTTTCAGTAATAGCAACATCATGAAATAAGTCAGTCCTCTGAGTAGAACTCCAGCTTCCAACATAAATTTAAGACATCAGTGAGATTTTTAAATTGCTGTCAGAAAAAATTATTGTTCATTAATTTGGGTCTGCATTCAATTAAATGCAGCCACTTTCTACTTTCAGTATATTAAGTGATATGCAAATGCTTTGGCAAATAGCTGGGGTCAGACCAGTTACCTTGAATGAGACCACCAGATCAGCTATGATTTTACTAAGGGGCAGAACAGGCTTTTAGCCTCCTCCTGTTGTTAAGTCCTATTTTCCTATATACAGCAAAGAAACAAGCCATTCAACACAACTGGTCAATCAGCGAATTCCCATTTTCCCTCTCATCCTGTTATCATATTCTTTTTATCCCTTTCTCCTTTTAGTGTAACTGAAGGGTTAACATTACCAGGACATGGTTCTGCCCTTCCAACTTTCTTCTTTCCTTCTAAAGAAAATACTAATTTCTAAACCAGGCTCAACAACCATCTGTACCTTGCCCAAGCTGCAGTGACTTCCCACACTGAACTGTTCTGGAAAGGCTGTTGACAGCATCCCAGACATTCCAGTTCTGTATTTACAGCTTTTCACCAAAAACCACAGAACGCAATTAGAATATGGAAATAACCTACATTAAAGTTACTTTTGGACAAGCAGAAAGAACGGGGCATTTCTGTTTTGATAGATCTACCCAAATTATGCTTATCATGTCACCTGTGAACATTTAAGGATTAAGTCAGTGTCAACCAAAGTTAACTCTACCAACAATGTGTAAATAGAAACAAGACATCACAAGCAGTCAATGGTGCATGCACTCTATTATTCCAAGAAACAACTGTCTTTGGTTTATTAAATCCACAGATACAGACCTTTGAAGCCATCTGGATAGACCTCTGGGAGGAAATTAGTGGTGATATCTCCTTTCACAAATCGTGGGTGAATGATAACTTCTCGAAGTAGTGGAATGTTATGGGTCACTCCTGGAAATTGAAAGGCAACATGTTTTTTTAAAAAAAATGGTGACGGTACAATTAGATATCACTGGAATCATCATATCATTGCTTCCAGTCCAAGTATTTATCCAATACATGAGGTCACTAGAAACACATGTCCCTTTCACATTCAAGGCTAACATTTTTTACAAGAGAAAGTCTGACAACCATTTTTAGAACCTTGATGCTGAGTGGGGTTTCTCTTGATGGCATGAACATACTTAAAATAAATTTCACAGAACAAGAAGAAACGTTAATCAATCCTAAAATGCAGTCCCATTTAGAGTGAGACATTAAACAGAGAAACTATCTGTCCTTATGGATGGATGGATGTAAAATGGCTTATCTCAAATGAAGGCAGGAAACTGTCCCTGGTATCTTGGCCAATGTTCACCCATCAACCAACATTACAGAAGATAATAGTTATCATCATATTACTGTTTGGAACATTGCTGTGAACAAATTGGCTGTCATTTTTCCAAGCTAACAAAAGAGAGAGTATATCATAAAAGTACTTTACATTGGCTGTAAAGAGTCTTGGGGCATTAGCAACTAAGAGGTAAGAACCAGGTAGATCATCCAGCCCCTTGAGTTTGCTGTGCCATTCAACAGGATCATGGCTGATCTCTAAATCAGTGTCAATGTATATAGTAGCAAGAATCTGTGTCATATGCACAATATTAAAATTAAACAAGGGTGAGTCTTTGAACCTAAATGAATAAATCATCTTCACCACATTAATCAATAAATACATTTGAGCCTGTAATTTTAGAGCTTTACTTGAAAGGAATTCAATAATCTCAGCAAAGGGCTCAGTCCCTTAGTAGACTGCCTATCATAAATAATGCATAGGAGGGCAAAATATGTAAATCAAACAGTTGCAGTCAACATATTTCTAAATTTTAAATCCAACCTGAACGAAGCTTCGTAAAGGGAAAGAAAAACGGTTTTATGTTACAGCTCTGCTAGATTTGAGGGGCAAAAAAAAAAGCAGGCAAGCCAATGTGCCTTCACTTCAACTGAGAGCATGTCACAAGTGTTGAATGTGAGGTTCATATTTGACCTCCTCCAAAGTTCACAAGGTCTACATCTGTGTGTGAAAAACTGCCAGGCTGAAGAATGATGACCCACAAGCTGCCTTCTCCTGACTACCTGCTGCTACCAAAACACTGCCAGGACATTAGCCACACACTGACAGGATCAAACAGAGGCCAAAGCTATGCTTATTTTCAATCTTAAAGTGCAGTAGTTAAAAGCAAAAAAAAGGCTCTTTGCATTCAGCCAAACTTTGTGCTAAAATTCCAGAAGATTTCTTTCAATGTGACATTTTTGGCACATCAATTCCAAGTGAGATTCCAGAGATATCTACCTTCAAATGGAATCACTTAAGTAATCTCCATACTCACAACATTGCATCCTTGACCTAGAGGGAGTAAAGTGGCATGATCGGAAGGTGTTTCCACAACAAATATTGCAATTTATGTTGATCCCAATATGGGGACCAAGATCACTGAGAGGGTGCATTCTCATCTTTGTGTTTGCAGCTAATGACATGCTAAAGGTAACTGATCTTGACAAAGCAGAGTTAGTGAAATCAATACAACTATTGCAGCATATACTAGCAAAGTAAATTATCAGGCACATCAGCAGGTTACTATCATAACATGATATCCACAAATTTGTTTTTTGAAAATGTTCAATCGTGTGCAATACAAGAACAATATAATGATAAAATATTTGTGTTTTTTCACAGAGCAACAGAGGCTATAATATAAAAGTGAGTAAAGTTCAGTAGGATATTTCCATGAATGAGGACCTCCAGTTATGTTGATAGATTGAAGTTGGGTTTGTTTGGCTTACAGAAGAGAAGGTTAAGGGAAGATTTGGTAAAGGCATTCAAAATCATGAGGGGAGAGGGGTAATGGCAACTGTATGCTTATTTTGAATGGCAAGAATTCCTAATTCACACAAAGTCCCATCACCCATCACCTCTGTACTTGCTCTGCACTTTCACTTTCAAAATTACTGTTTTAAACAAAAATACAGCTCTTAAGAAAACTCTGTTTTCTTTTACTCTGACAGTACCTAGTTCACTTTCGATCATTAACAAAATCGTATTGCACATGTCAACTTGCATGTACACTAATTATTTTTAAGATAAATCCATGACTATTGAATTGCAGTATATATTTGATGAAGGCTCTTGTTGGTTGCTTTAATCATCATGTTGTGCTGAAATTCAGATCTGAACTCCATCCTGAATACATAACACCAGGCTAATGAAATCGTTCTGAATGCTCAAAATCGATTTTAGACATTAATATTAAAGAGGCTCAGAGTTTATCAGAATATTGTAATTATCTTATGCCGGAGTCAAGTACTACAATCCTTGAAGAAAGACGTTCATACAATCCAAAGACAACCTCCCAAAGGACTACTTCCTTCAATAAAGTAAGAGGAATTTAATGTCCTGTCCATGGGGCATTTGATGGTGGGAGAGATTCTTAATCAAGGCGGGGTGGTAGAAGGTGGGCACTCTGCCACGTTCCACCCTAATAAACCTGTGGTAGGAAAGCCCCAAAGTTGTGAAGCATCAACTAATGCTCAATGAAGGACCTCCCCCACTGCAGGTATTAACCCAGTGCAAGACGAAGGGTCACCACGCAGAGAGCACAAGAAACAAATCTGTTAGGGGATTCTTTGCAGACTCACAGAGGCTCCTTGTTCAAGATATGTAGTGCCTGATCAAGAGACCCTGCAATGGGAAGTGCCATTCGCCCATCCCCGTAACTCCCACCTCATTAAAACCTTCCTGCTATTATTCATCTGCATTCAGCGATGATCCTGGACCTTAGGTGGGCATCATTGGTGCAGAAGCCATTGCCTACCCTCTGACACTGATTGGCACACCTCTAAGTAGGTGGGAGACCGACCCCTGGGGAAGGACCATCACATTCCACTTAAGTGCCTGAGTGGCACAGGGTGCCTGATGGCTCTCTAGTCAGTAGCCAAGACCGCTGTTCCTTTCATTAAATCCAGTATGGTGTTTCTCAAACCATCAGCTAGAATCTTGACTCTTTGCATCCATTGCACAAACTAAGGAATGTTACATGAAAGGAGTGGCAAGCTAACAAGGGTGATAAGATGCCAAAAACTATTTGATTTAAAGAGGAAGGTAAATACCGTATTAGATTGGAAGAGGAGATTTATAAAGTTGCCAAAATAATAGTAGTAAACAGGAGCATCGGGAACATTTCAGAATTCAGCCAAGACTGGGAAACTATTAAGAAAGGGAAAACAGAATATAAAAGAAACATAGAAAAAAAAACTGAAAAATATTCTACAGATATAAAAATATTAGCAAAAACAAAATGAGTCCATTATAGGCAGAGACAGGAGAATAAATAGTGAAACATAAGGAAATGACAGAACGGTTAAATAATTATTTTAGTCTGACTGCATGGAGAAAGATACAAGAAATCTTCCAGATGTTTTAAAGATCCAATGAACTAGTGAGAAAGGGGAAATGAAAAAAGTAATTACTAGCAAAAATGTACGGTTAGAGAAAGTAATGAGACTGAAAGTTAGTAAATCCAAGAGTTCTCTTTATCTACATCCCAGTGTGTTGATAGAGATAGTGGATACATTGGTGGTCATCTTGCAAAATCTGCCAGAATAGAATAGAATAAATAGCCTTTGTTGTCACATGCTTTCGAATGAATGCACTAAAAAGTTTGTAATATCGCCACTTGGCACCAACTTAGATACAGGGTACCTAGGTACAGACATTTTTGAGTGTTGTTACAGAACTGAAATTGCCAAAAAAAAGACGAGAATGGGAATGCAGAGTTTACAAGTCCAGAATGAGAATCAAAAGTGCCTTAAAGTACTCAAGTTGTAGTCCTTTTTCACAAAGTCCCTGCCTGCCAGGCTTCAGAACACAAGGCCTCGCTGCGTCCATGTGCTGCCCTCTGTCCAGGACTCGTCCCCCCAGCCAGACTGGGCTTGGTCTGCTCCCATTCCAGGCTCCGGCCGCAACTTGGCTTCCAGCTCAGCCCGCACTCACTCTGTTCCCTGCTCCAGCCCCAACTCGCTTCCAGGACTCGGCTGCACTCCCTCTGCTGCCACTCTGGCTGTGACTTGCTTCCGGGATTCAGCCCACGCTCACTCTGCTGCTACTCCGGGCTCCAGACACAACTTGCTTCCAGGATTCAGCCCGCGCTCGCTCTGCTCCTCACTCCGCAACTCGCTTCTGGGACTCGGCCCTTACTCACTAATTCTGGGACAGTCCCTGCAGATTGGAAGGTTGCAAAGGCAACAAGAAAGGAACGAGAAAAAAAATTGGGAAACTACAGACCTGGTAGCCTGGCATCAGTAGTAAGGAAAACAAAATAGAATCTGTTATATAGGATGTGAAAACTGAACACTTAAAATAATAATCTGATTTGGCAGATTAACCGCGCATTTGAAGAGAAAATCATGTTTGACAAACCTGTTAGTTTTATTTCAGAATGTTACGAGCAAAGTAGATATATGGGAATCAGTGGAAGTAGTGTTTGACTTTGATAAGACTTTTAATAAAGGTCCATACAAGAAACTAACAAACAAAATTAGAGCACATGGGACAGAGGGGTAACATATTCACATGGTTTGAGAATAGATTAACAGGAAGCAAACAGAGCAGGATTAAATAGGTCATTCTCAAGTTGGCAGGCTGTGACTAGTGAGGTACCCGAGGATTACTGTTCACAATCTATATGAATGATTTGGATGTAGAGATCAAATGTAATATTTCCAAATTTACAGATGAGACAAAACTAAATGGGGATGTACTTTGTGAGGATGATGCGAAGGGGCTTAAATCGGATTTGGACAGGCTGAATAAGTGGGCAAGAACCATGGCAGATGGAATTTAATGTGGACAGGGTTGTGGACTGTTCTTTGAGCAGACGGAGCCTTCTCTACAGTTTAGAAGAACAAAAGGAGAT